CCCTATTTTTCATTTATTAGAAAGTCTCATATGACATAGGCATGAAATGTTAAATCATGCACGAGACTAGTAGAATAGGTCTACATGAAGATTCAAGAATGATCGAAAAATGCTTCCAGACGAAAGAAGAATTAAAGCAAGTCTCAAATGGACTGCTTCGACAAAAGGAACCCTCGTCTAAGAAGAAAGGACGAAAGATGAAGGATAATCTTTCGTCTCTCATTCCTAAGTGACCAAGTCAAGGACAGACTTGTTGAAAGACAACTCTCATTAAAGGAAACAATGAGAATGTTGTCTATCACTCTGTTGGGCAAATCATTCAGACAAAAAGTGTCCTAGGAATGATTTTCACTAAAAACAAGGAGCATTAAAAGGCTTGTACCATCTTGTCAGAGGTCAAGGACAAAAGTCCATAATGTTTTTGGCTCCAACGGCTGTACAGTACAAGTGCATTAAATGCCTCTTTCCCACTGAGTAATACACACTGGTTTTTAGGTTTGAAATTTTCATCTCCCTCCAACAGATGGATTTTTCCACCTATAAATACCTCACTTCACCATTCAAGAAGGTGCTGGTTAACTCACTCTTTCAATCTTAAGAAAGGCTCTTCAAAGCAGTTCCATCTTCTCAACTTTTCATAACCAGTGTTTGTTGTGAAGTTTTTCAAAGCCATATCCATCCTCATACTTCACAACTTGAAGCTGTCTTGTTCTTTTCTCAAGTGAAGATCTATCCAGACATCAAGACAAGCTTCAACCTAGTGGAGAATCATCAGATTACTTTTCCAACATCTCAGCTTAGGAAGAAGTTGATAGAGATGGAGTAAACTCTAGGAGTTGAAAAACCTTTCAAGTGGCTGTCCGGCTTAGTGTTAAAGGAAGCCAGCTTGAAGTAGTTTATACTAGTAGTGATAGTGCAAACCCTTTCACGAGTTGCGAAAGAAGAGTGGAGTAGGCATAGTTGGCCGAACCACTATAAAATCTCTCCTCCATCTCTCTTTATTTATTGCTTTTACTTTCCTGTTTTGCATATCATACAACATCGACCAAACGCTAAAATTTTACCAACACGAAAGAGTGCAAAGAAAATTTAACATAAGATACTATTTCCGCTGCATATATCTCCGAAAGGAGATTAATCGAAAAGAATCGATTAGAGTCTATTCACTCCCCCCCCCCCCTCTAGACTCTCTCTGACCCTTTCGGGACTAACAATATGTTTTTCTTAGGCCACTTGGGTATTAACTCTTTGTTTTGACCCTCATGATGCTAAATCCCAACTGGTTATGTTTTGATTTACCTCCACTATCCTATATGAGGATAATAAAGTTTGTATAATACAAATTTTAAGTGGATATATTTAAAAGGATAGTGGACAAGTATATAAATATTCAACCCACGTATGCTCCAGAAGAGTCACAAGATTATTTTATAAAATTCTAAATGACAATCCTAAAGATTGTACTATATCCCCTCTCTACACTCTGTTGAAACAATGACTTTACTTTAAACTATGTAGAACTTGAAGATTATTATCTTCAGGGGGGAGACGGAAAATACATTCACTCGAATCAATCTTATAGATTGGATCTTAAAAGGGCTAATAGTTGTACTTTCGCAACATATACATACCATGTACTCTTTTCCTCACTAAGTTTTTTTCCCATTGGGTTTTTCTAGTATGGTTTTTAACAAAGCATAAGTATGATATAGTAATGTCAATGGGAAAAAGTAGCAAAATAAATGCTTAAGTAGACAAACCCCAAAATCTCGAAGATTATGCCTTGAAGGCTTAAGGTTGTACTCTTTTCCCATTAACTAAGTTTTTCCCATAGGGTTTTCTTAAGTTAAGGTTTTTAATGAGGCAATTAGTACAATATATGATTTTACAAATATCATGTACTTTCTTCAACTAGCTTTTGCCCACGTGGTTTTCCTAGTGAAGTTTTTAATGAGGCATGAATATATTTAAATATATACTTTATACTCTTTTTGTCTAGGTTTTCCCCACAGAGTTTTTCTAGCAAGTTTTTACGAGAAAACATCATGTCAAATAAGGTCCGAGGGGGAGTGTTATAAACAAAACATTATTGTGGACATTATTAGCTATTTTGTAACAGTTATAACTGATATACTTATTACAATTTAGTAATATATATATATATATATATATATATATATATATATATATATATATAATAATAATAATAATAATAATAATAATAATAATAATAATAATAATAATAATAATAATAATAATAAAGCAGAATCAAGGTGAAAATTTTTTCCCTCCATTCGGTGCATTTAAGAGTTATGAAATATCAAGGGTTTAGGAACTTCATAATCATCATAAATAATTAAATAATGATAAAAGAAAATCAAAGTGAATAATAATCAAAAAGAGTTTAGTGTAGTGGAGAGTAATTCACAAAATTAATTTGAGTAATATATAATTGTTGATCCATAATTGAAAATTAACATTGCAATAATTATGTTATGTTTCTAAGAGCATC